TCACAAAACCACAACCACATCCTTTGGTGGAACTCCCTTACTTTATTTAAGAGCCTTGGGTTCCAGAGAAGGAAAATAAATTGGGGAACAGGAGGCCCAGGCAAATAAGAGCTTGGTTCCATTACGAAATAGTTTGAATCGGGTTTAGCATGCTTCCAAAGGGATATGTGGTGTCAGAGGGATCACCTGATTTAGATTTCTATTCTTGGCAAACTTTGTAGCATTTAACTGTATGTTTTGTGGTCTCAGTAAAGAATGTCTGAGGGAGTTAACAATTATCTTGGATAACTGATGAACTGATTTTACTGTCACTGTGAAAATGTCTCCAATGATGCCAGTTAGACTCTCAAAGTTTGGCAATATTCCTCAAAAGGAACTATGTGAGTGACTTTGTTTCTAGAGGATTCAGAAGCTGTGAGGGGCTGTTCTCCCTTGGGGTTTCCAGATCCTTGCTGGATTCAACAGTTCCAAAAAAAAATTAACATTATCACACTTCCTGGGACGTGTTGCATGGAGAAACATCTTGAACATTTGTTCATTTTGTGAGCTTATGAGGTATTTCTGAGAAATAAAATATGTTCACAACTATGTGCACGGTTTAAAATGGTGGTAGGCTAAAATGTAAAATTATGCACGAATAGTTGAGGGGAAAATATGTAAATGAATGCATATATAAGGGACATGGAGTGAAAACTGTACATATTTCAGTGCAGGAAGAGAGAGTAAAAACAGCAACTTCTAACCTTAACTGAAACAAAGAATGGAAGAAAATGCAGATGAGATTTGGAGAAATACTATTAAAACTCAGTGATTTTCATATCTCTCGTCTACTAGAGGTCTCCCTATGAAGGGAGTTTGGGGAGCATGTTCTAACATTGTCCTTTTTGCTCCTACTTTTAATTCAGTCTTTATTTTTTTAATATTGTGTCACAAAACAATAATCTAATTGGAGCTTGTAGAGTTCTCAATTTTATTTCCATGTGGGGACTAGGTTCTAATTATTAGAACCTAGATTTTTTTTACATCCATATATTAGAATCTAATACATGGAACCATGATTTATGACAAAAACACAGTAGATGTTTTACACTACTGAAAAACAATATACCTACAACATGCATATGATACATTGCTGAGACTAACTGCTGCAGAATGAATGTCTTTCACTCTGATAGAGACCCACAAACTATTTACTTCAAATCAAATCCTGCTGACATAAGAGAAAAAAAAATCTGCTGTTGGATAATTTCTGGCTAGATGTTTGATAAGGTGGTGAAGAACCCTAGCTGTGTTCTCATGATCTACAGTGCCCAAATAGCAGCACTTAGATAAAGATTGAAACGGGGCTGATTGTAAATGAATGCTGTTAACTTTCTGGAACTTTGCAAGTTTCTGCTATCCTTTCTTCATTTAAACGTTGCAGGATTTATCACTATTATTGTTAACTATTTATTTTCCGAAGATTTGAAACACCCCATAAAATTTAATAGCTGTGTAGAGACAAGGACTATATGTGGGATTTAAGCACATGGATTGTTTAAATTATCTAATTTTATGCACTAGGGTCTTATAACTTTGGATTGTTTTCCAAAACACCCCATAAAATTTAATAGCTATGTAGATGATGGAACCTTTTTTTTAAATGCAGAAGAACAACATATCCTGAAATTTCCTTTTCTGCAAACGTGGCCAGCCCTCCGATGAGACAGGATGAGGCATCAACCTCTGGCAGCACAAGGGAAGGGGTAGTGAACTGCCCCCTCTCTGACAAGCAGGCTCCCCTGCAGCCAGCCACACATGAAAGCTTTTGTGGCCAATCTCCATCATCAGCAAATTATACCGGAGAAAGGCAGGAGGCCTGGCTTTCCAGGGCGCTGTCAGCCTCTGGAGTCCCAACACAGAAGCAAATAGCATGTCAGCTTCTAGAGTCTGGCAGTCCTCGAATGCCTTGCTCTGAGGAGATCAAGGAGCAGGGCATTGCGGATGGAGTGACCATGGAGTCTGCTTGTGCCACAGCACCACAGTCCCCATGGCCTCCCTCACACCGTAGCTCACTCTGTGGAAGTGCCCATCCATGCACGGCATTCAGGTGGAGGGAATGTGGTGTTGGTAGAAAGGAGTGGCAGTGCATAAAAAATGGTAGTAGGCAGAGGTGGCCAGAGTAATGAAAATCCTCCTGCTTTGGTCAGCGGGCAATCTTTCACTTCCTTTCTCTGTACAAATATAAAAGCACAGGAGTTCTGTCCCATTTTTGGGATCTGGCTGCACTATTTCTGAGTCATGTGTGGGGCCCATGATGGTACAATTGTGCCATCAAAATTAGAAACTCACATTGTGTCTGGAAAGTATTGAGAAGTCAGTGCTCTTACAGGTACGTACATGAAACTGGGAGTTTCAGTTTCTTCTATGTCTTTCACCTATTTTCCCCTTTGCTTTCTGAGAAAGAAGTATTTAACGTGGAAGGGAATATTTAAAATATGTTATCATGGCTAATTTGTTGTTAATTTTTAGTGCCTGCCAGACGCTTAGTTTTGGAATCAAGGAAAAAGGTTGCCTGTTCTCACCTACATAGACCTTCAAAAAAAGACGTTCAGTCAAGTCATCAGCAACATGGCAGGCAGTTACTAACAGCATTTGCCAAGGAGGAAGGTCATTGCTGATTGGTTGGCTGATTTAAAGCCTACCCTTGCTGATTGCCTCTAAAGCTATAGGTATACCTGTATGGGATAATTTATTGTCATTATTGGTGTAATATATGGGAGTCCTGGTGCTAGTGGGTATAGTAGCATAAACATTGCAAAGCAAATTCCGGTTTACTGCTTCGTTAGATATCCATTCCATATAAAAGCTCTTTGTACCTGCAATTTCTCCATGCTATTTTTATTAGATCTAGATTCTGGTTACATCTTCCTTCAGTAGTTTAACCCCCCACCCTCACCCCCTGTCTAAGACACTAAGTCTTTTGTACTGTACCTGATTCTTTCCCTCCAGTGAAAGTATGTATAAACAGTAATAATTTTAAAAGCTTCTTCTTCTTCTTCTTCTTCTTCTTCTTCTTCTTCTTCTTCTTCTTCTTCTTCTTCTTCTTCTTCTTCTTCTTCTTCAAGAACAGCGTGGCAATTGTCTAAAGTCAGCCTGGCAATTGTCTAAAGTTATACTAACTAAAGTATACTAAAGTTACACTAAATTAAGAGACAATCCAAACAGTTAGGAAGAAGCATGTGTTACAGGGCTATGAAATTAGCATCACTTTAGAATGCAGGACTGGGATATTTCACGTTTCAATTCCTTCCTTACTAAAACTCTAATGGTCAGCATCCCCTTTTTTGGATTCTGTTAATGGACAATAATGCCCCAAGTGATACTCATTTGAAGTTTTATTACAGGGCTCAGTCAAAACTCCTCAACAAATCTCCTTTCTTGAGATTTTAGCAGGTTACAGTGGTTGGATGGAGGCTGCATTCCACACAGTAACGTCCAGCTGACATCTGTGGGATTAACAGTACTGTAACTAACTTTTCATATTAATTTCATTGGGAGCAAATTGGTAGTCAGGAGCTGGTATTATCTGTTTCTTTCAAATTGCAACATTTCCTCTTTTTCTCAACTTGAGTGTTCTCATAGTTGGATATATTGCTCAGTTATTTACTGAATGTGTTGAATATGTTTCACTGTTTGATGGATCTCTCCATCATACAGTAGTTCTGCTTCAGCCATAATCTTTCCATTCTGCCTTTTACTGATTCTATGCTGCTCTTGGAATTCTGATCCTGTGTCAAACAGAAAAAGCATAATTCTATTTCATTGTTTTCCTGTTTGCTGATATTCATGCAGATAGAGGGTAGCTGCTCTGCCAAAAATCAAACATGGTGGGAAATCATGACATATACTGAAAAACAGCAAATTAGCACTAGTCGAGCCATAATAATAATGAAACAATGGCTTTGACTAATTAGGCATTGAGATCAAAGAACGTTTGTGAGTACAGCCTAATTTATCCAGGGCTTAACCCCAGCAATCTGTTGTCATTGCCACAGTTTATCCTCGAAACACAGGAATTAGGAATAAATGCAGGCACCCTTGAGTAGGCCTCAAGTACATTTCCTTCACTGTTGAGTGACTGTAGAGAGTCCTACAGATCAAAGTTTAAGGGAAAGAGCAGCCAGATCTCTGAGCGCTGTTTGAGAACCAGTATCAGAGTTCCCAGAAATTAGAACTGTTTGTGAGGATGACAGGTTGCAGATATGATTGAAATGTTTTTGTTGAGGTGTCAGAAATGATAACGAGACTGTTTCCTGACCCAACATTGGCCCCAACGTTTCTTTGCTGATGGCCCACATGAGGACTTGTTGCATTAAAGAACATGTGCAATTTTTATTTCTGGAGGTTTGACTGTAAATAGCCTAAAGGTGGAAATATAAGCAATCCATGTTGATCATATCAAAGAATCTTAGAAAAGTTGTCGTTATGTCCTTCCGGAATTAGTCTGTGGGTTAGCCTTCAAACCAATTGTATTCCATATTCAGGTCATCCTAAATTTCCATATTCAGGTCCAATCCTTCTGTTAGGCAGACTATATTTTATGTATATTTTGTCAGTTATGTCTTTTTAAAAAATCTTCTGTGTTTCTTTTCCTTTGTGTATGAATACGTTAAAACAAGAACACTTTAAGAAATCCTTTGTTTTGAAGTTCAATCAGACCTGCCAAGAAACTTGAAAAGACACAAAAGATTCACTGAGGTTGAAACTGGGTTGTGCTAACCCATTTGCAGAGCGGTTTGCCATTTGTCTCTGTCTCTTACTTTGTGGCAGCTTATAAAGAAAGCAAAATCTTCCTTATTTGTGGCAGAGATAAAGCTGGGGGGAAAACATCCCACTTTGGTATTCACAGTACAGTTATGACAAATGCATGGCCTGTGTTCTGAGTGTTAAGGGAAATGTAAAAACATGTCTAGTTGTTGTGAATGCTCACATGGTGATTTGTTGGTTTGATTCTTCAGGTCGTGAATTGGCAAGTACAACCCTCCCTGGATACCCTCCGCACGTCCCCCCTGCTGGACAGGGCAGCTACTCTGCTCCAACGCTGACAGGGATGGTGCCTGGTGAGTTTTCATAAAATAAAAAAGAGAGAGAGAAAAGAATAGAAAAGAAAAGGAAGAGAGGAAAGAAGGAAGAGGAAACAGTTTCTATAGGAAATCCAAAGGGTTCCTTTATACTCCCTTTTCATGCCAGGAGAAGTAGACAGAGTTGCTAAAAGAAATATGGAAAACAGGCAAATTTAATTACTGTATTTCTTTCTGATTTTATCTATGATGGTTGTCCGCAACTGTTGTAAGCGGAACTGTTTGAGTTCAAACTGATTTAGGCCTGTTTGAAAGGGGACGACCTCTGTCCATGTTCTTCAGCTTCCCTAGAATTGTCAACTGGGGTAGTGAGAGAATTTATTCAGTCAAAATAGGGAGGAAAAGACATCTACCTTTGCTGCATAACTGTTGGATATACATGATAAAATGTACATAAGGTTAATCTCAGAGTTACCTCGCTTCTCTGCATTTTTGTCATGTGAATCATTTTAATTAACTTATATATAAGCGTTGTTCACAGTTGTGCCTGCAGAATCTTATACTTTGAAATTATGTTGCTTAATATGGGTACTTGCAGATGATCTCATCTAAGGCTTTTCACACATGAAATCTTAGCCATTAATGTCTGCAGCGAATCATCCAATGTTCCCTGATGTTCACCTTTGGTCTTCATAATGTCTTTAAAAGAAGTCAACCATTTTCTGGGCTGTCTTTGCTCAGCAACAGTTTCTGAAGCTGGATATGGTGCTGGGAAGTGCCCTTTGCCAGAAGCACGATTTTCACATTTTTCTGAACTTGCAAAGGTCTGAAAGAGTTTTTAGCATCTTTTTTTAAAATTCTCTCTTGTATCACTGGGCTTTAATAGTGCCTACAGACCTGGAACTTGGAAGAGACCGTTTGGTAGTATAAGTTAATGGTGAATTGATGTCCTCATTTTGTTGCAATGTTACAACTACGAATATACAACTCTTATATTCAAAGAAACTACTGCTTTTCACAAACAGAGACTGGTAGATTGTGGAGGATGGACCCCTCCTTCCTTAGCCTTAGGGATCCTCATCAGTGGCTTGCGAGAACAATGTATTGGAATTTTGTGGTTTTGACTATGGAATGCTACTGTATCTTCTTTTTTAAAAAGTTACCTAGCAGTCAATATATGTTTGCAAACACAAAAGTAACACCAGCAAGCAGGATGAGTTCATCCGTTCTGTTCCTCTTGTCAGCATTTCTTTTGTCCATTGAATACATGCTTGATAATTCAATTACTGATTCCTACCACCATAAATATCACTTTAATCAACATATTTAAACCAAATCAGTTAATCCAATTTTTGCTAAATTAAAAATGAAATCTGAAAAATCCAAAAACTTTCCACCCTAACTCTATTGCTGCCTCATACGCGTATAAGATAGGGGCAAATTGAAATGGTGCTAGACTGATTTCCTAAAATTCATCCTCACCATCTTGGAAACAGCTGGGTCTTCTCCCAATCATTATATGAATCACAGACAAATTGCAGTCATTAGCCCTATTTAGTTCCGTATTCTGGAATAATCAACATGGTTACAAAGGAGTTGTTTTGTTGAGCACTAACAGATCTGAAGAAAACGATCTTGGTCATGTGTAAAGTCTACACTCAAGCAGGAATTTGTCCCTTCATGAACAGATCAACAAGGGAGGGAAGCAGGGCCAGCCTCTCCTCTGTAACCATGTTGATGATTTCAGTTTCTAGAACAGCTGAATATTTTGTTTAAAATTGAACTGAACCAACAGGACCATTAACCCCATTCTTAATCCTAGCCTTTCTGAGCAGTGACTGGTTTTCTCTACTTTTAACAATAGCCTGACACTCCTGTGTTACAATGTAATCTGCCTTTGAAATTTTCCTGACTTTTGCTGGTAACCCTGAAAAGATGGAAGCCAAAAGCAGGCATTGGAATTTAGTCATATGGAAGTAAGCCCTGCAACAAAAGGTTGCAGTGCAGCATGCTTCTGCTTATGGATCCAGCCAGCCATCTAACTGTACACAGACAGTCCATGCTATTCTTTCTTTCTTTCTTTTTACCAGTTTACTATTCCCTTGGGTAACACTTTTAAGTTCTGTTGGGCTCTTTGCTTACTTAGCTGTCTATTGATGAACCTTGCAAACATAATTTCACAAAATGAGTCTTTTCTTGTTCACTGTTATATTAAAAACAGGATAAGCAATTATAGCAACAACAAAATGCTACAATTTATGCACCCAAGTTCTAGGCAACAGCACCAATGCAGAGGTGGCTTGTAGAATTGCAAATTTCAATTTCAATTCAAATTCAAATAAAATTCTAAGAAATCTTCCTCAATTGGTTTGACTGTCAAATGCATAGAAGAATCAGCTCCAGATGTGGAATCTTCAAATCCCTAAAATAAAATATCAGTTCAACTGTGTGCAATTTATGAATTCACTATGTGGATTTACCCCTTCCCCACAACCATATAAGAATTACTGTATACCTAAACCAAATTAGCAAGTGCCTCAGCAGTCCAAGTGGCAGCAGCAGCTCTGACCTCTTCAGTTCTCCCACTCTTTCTGATTCAAATCTCTTACTCACAGCCCCGGTCTTTCTTAGTCCCACCTCTTTAGGCTGAATCATTATTTCATAGGACTTAGACTTGCATGATAGTCAGTCAGCATTCCAGCTGCACTGAATATACTCACTACTAATTGAGCCATTCTCGACTTCAACCCCATTTGGCTTCTCAAAGATTTCTTGTATTTCTGCAAAAATACTTAGTATTTCCCCGGCTCTATTGATACCCCCTTTTTTGTTTAGATGATGCTGTTTTGTTTGCATCCTCACTCAGAGATCCCTACTATTATATAGGATTTCTTTTAGCTCTGACAATTTATTTTTTGCACTGGGGGGATTACGAGCACATAATCCTTGTTAAAACGCTGAACAGGGCAATCAGAGTTGCTGGTGGATTCCTGTTGTAAAGCCACAATTGTCCTTGGAAATTTCTGATATAATGCTAAGGTCAGAGGAGAATGAAGAATGAAATGCTGCATTACTGCTTTCCAAATGTTCCCATTTTTAATGTTTGATAGAGTTCTATTCACTCTTTTATACAGAGTTTTCCTCTCTCTACCACCACTACATAAACTCACATTAAGAAATTGCTTTTAGAGATGGCATATACAACATTAGAAGCCATTCAGGTGAATAAGTATTTGAAAGAATGTCAGATATTCTTAGGTCCAGTGGCAGTGCTCTCAGAGCAAACAGAATTAGCAAAAGCTATGGCTTGCCTCTCGTCTGCATATATGAATGTATGTTCTTAGGGCTCCTGAAATAGTTGGTTCAGGGACACGCTGTCCATAAACAAAGATTTAATGGTTAGAATACAGTGGTGCCTCACTAGTCAGTTACCCCGCATGACAGTTTTTTCGCTAGACATTGACTTTTTGCGATCGCTACAACAAAACAGTGATTCCTATGGGGGAATTTTGCTGGACAATGTTTGGTCCCTGCTTCGCAAACCGATTTTTGCTAGACTACGATTTTGACAGCTTCCTCCGCACTCGCAAAACAGGTGTTTTCGGGACCTAAGCTTCACAAGACAGCGATTTAAACAGCTGATCGGCGGTTCGCAAAGCAGCTTTCCTATGGCTGATCTTCGCTAGACAGCAACGATTCTTCCCCATTGGAATGCATTAAACAGGTTTCAATGCATTCCAATGGGGAAATGCTTTTCACTAGACAATGATTTCGCTAAACAGTGATTTCAGTGGAACGGATTATCATCGTCTAGCGAGGCACCACTGTATCACATTGTTTAAAATTTTAGTGATTCCCAAGTCCTTTGGGTGACTTTCTTTGCACAATAAGCTTTGTTTTTAACAGCATATTCTAAGATTAAGCTCCCTCTTTCCCTCAAGTCTACCATCAATAACAAGCTGCTGGTCCAGAAAGGTGAAGGTTATCTGCAATTCTTATTAAGTCCTCTGGCTCATTTAAACCAGATTTTGCTAACTGGCATCCAAAATAACTTCTTGATCCTCTCTTGTCGCTTATCATTTGGAGGGCCAGTCTTAGAAGCCTCTTACAAATGTATGCAAGTCTTTTATGATTTGGCTCTGAAAGAGGCGGCAGATCAGCTTTATTACACACACACATCAGTGTTTGTAGTCTGATATGACTGAATTATTCTGGCTTGACATTTATACAAGGAGAATCCATTTCATCAATTCTCAGAGACTTGCTCTAGACATAGTGATCTTCTGTAATAATTTTTCAGAGCACATGCAAAGAAAGTGGTTATGATAAATCCTTTCATAATTAGTCATGAATTATAGCAGTCGTTGACTTTACTATGTGGATGAAGAAATGCAAGATAAGAACTAAGCTGCACAACTTAAGGTGTTTTATTTTTTTTGTATGTTGTTATGCTATAGCTTGTTCCTGTTCTGAAAAGCACTATGATGGCCTGATGTCATACATGACAGCTTTTCAGTTTGCATTGCAATTTGCTGAAGGAGTCATACTGTATCTGCTTAGTAACCTGAAAGCAATACTTGTGTCAAGCACGTCAGGACTGGAAGGCAGCTGGTTTGGAACCAAGAGCTGAGAAGCTAGATCAATGATGGAAAACATTTCTACACCATTCCACTCTGCAGTGTCTAAGCTATTAACACATCGTTTAGTCGTTCAGTCGTGTCAGACTCTTCGTGACCCCATGGACCAGAGCACGCCAGGCCCTCCTATCTTCCACTGCCTCCCGTAGTTGTGTCAAATTCATGTTGGTTGCTTCGCAGACACTGTCCAGCCATCTCATCCTCTGTCGTCCCCTTCTCCTCTTGCCATCACACTTTCCTAACATCAAGGTCTTTTCCAAGGAGTCTTCCTTGGAAAAGCTATTAACATACATATACTTAAGCTGAGAAAAGTTGCTATTCCATTGATCTAGCACACTTCCTCAAGAACTTTTTGACATTATGGCATCATCATGGAAAGGGCACATTTTAGGGAAACCCAAA